AATACCAGCAACTTTTTTAATGGCTACAAAAGGAAAAATGTTTGTCGATGTGGATCATTTTGTCGCTCTGTATTCGGTCAAAGTTACGTATCCAATTTCTGTGTTTAAATTTTAAAAACAGGACAGCAATCATGGCAAAGATGAGTGTGTGTTAAGTTTTTTAATATTTAATTTTGTGGTTGAAAGTTATAAAATCTGATACATGCAGAAGTTTATTTGCTACTGATTGTCTTTAGGAACAGGTAACAGTGTAAAAACACAGGCTCCGAATATTGGCCCCAAACTGTCACAGTCAAAACCGTAAAAAACAAACAAACAAACAAACAAAAAAAAGTTCATTTTAAACACAAAGACATGCAGGAAGCTGCAACTGAAGGATATAAGTTATCATGCAAGGAAACGTTCATACATAAAACATACAGGTCTCTTTTTGGTTGAGAAGTAAAACTGACCCGAATATGTTGCAGCAATGTGCTGTCGCTGCAATTATAACAAACACACAGGACAGTCAAACTTTTAAAAACATGCCGTTAATCTTTAGAAACCAACACAGATAAAAGACAACATTTCTGAAGGAATCATAAACACAGCAGAGTGATAAAATAATAAAAGTCAGGTTTTTCACAGGTGAGATTTCTTTAATCTCTCTTCCTTTTCTTAAAATTTATTATTTGTGGTCGTCTCAAGATGGAAGGCCGTCCTCCTCGTCGGAGCTCAACACGGATGATGTCAGAGCCGTGCGATGAGTCTGCTGCGACTTTCGCCTTAGAGAAGAAAAGCAGCGGAAACATCAATCAGCACTCGGCAGACATGTTTAAAAGCTTTGCGATACGGCCGAGACTTACTTCAGGTCGTTCTCCAGCGCCGCAACTTTGGCCTGGAGAGCCTCCTGGAGCTCCTGCTGCTCCTCCAGGTCTCTGAGGACTTTACGGCGGACTCCCTCCAAGCGCTCCACCTCTCCCTCGCTCTCGTCCAGCTGACGCTTCAGGGCCTTAACACGGAGGGTCAGCTGGGAGGGGACAGAGGAAGAGGAAGGGGGTTAGAGGGGAACAGAGGAGGTTAAAGGTGAAGACGTGGGCGGTTGGGAAGACATGAATGACAGGTAGGCTACAGATGATGTGGCAGAAATATGGAAGAACACCACAGGTCAAGGGTCATTCTAGTGACTGAGGGAGGTTGGGGTTGGGTAAGGAGGAGAGCACATACAATTAGTCTTTAAAAAGTAAAGAAACTATGGTTTATTATACTTCGTTTAAACTCTATTAATAAGAGTCGATGCTTCTTGGAGTCTTAGGAATATTTTGGGACTTTGGATCCTTCATCCCTACCATTCTGGGATCTGACCCTCCAAAAAATCCCTACACCTAACAAGAACAATGAAAGTTGCCCATTTAAATAAATAAAAAAAATATCTGCAGCAGATGAATAATATTTGACATTCATGTTTTGAACAATAAATTGTCGATTAATGGTTTACTAGGTTAAAATGTGTTCCATTCGGTTAACGTCTGATCTCGTTTAGACCTTTTGTCAATGTTGTAGTTTGGCCGCCATCCAACAGAGGGCGCTGCTGGCCATCCTTAACCGGATAGTCAGTTGATACACGAGTAAAGATGGCGGAGGGAACGAAGAACGGGAAAGAAAAACGGCCCAGAGTCCAGATTAAGGATGCAAAATTACTTTTATTTGATTCTGTTTTGAAATATAAATACTCAACAAAAATAATTACAAAAGAATAAGAAGAAGAAGACTGATTTGCTACGAAGGCGACGTTGTGATGACTAAAAAGCGGAGGGCACAGCGCAGAAAAATTAAGAGATGATGCCAAAAAGCAAGGACAAATGTGACAGGTAAATTTTATTTAATCACTTTTAAAACAGGGTGTTAGATATACATCCATTCAAGGTAACACAGGAAAGCAACGCAATATTGAAATGAAATAGTTAGACTTAATGTAATTTGCATTGAAACCAGAGTATTTACCTGATCCCTCTGCTCGATATGCTGGCTTCTCTCCTGGTCCAATGTGGCGTTCAGCTCCTTCAGTTTCCTCTCCGCTCGTCTCTGGGACGCCTGGATGCTCGTCTTCTCCCTATAAGTAGGGAATTGATTGGCAAATTGGAAATGGACCAAAAATATGACTGTCTAAGGGATTTGTTTAGTAATTTATTGGTGCATTACATTGACAGCAGGTGTGGGACTCCATGAGGAGCCCAGGAGCTAAAAGAAACCCAAAACTATTTAAGAGATTTGAACTAATTACAAAAAGTATATTGGATTTTCTGATTCTTTACTAAAGAGCAAACTTTTTTGATTAGAATATTTCTTTGGACAGCTGTTTGTAGTTTCTCTGTTAGTAGCATTACTGAAAATGACTTAATTGTTTAGCATAACTTAAAAATAAATATTTCTCTGCTTCAATATTTCAGATCATAAAACAAATGTTGAGATAACCCGAGTGAATACAAACGACCATTTTTATATTGGAGGACATACTGTTATCAAAAACAACTGAAAATGTCATTTTCAGCTGCATTTCTGAATCCATGCAGCAGAAAATCAGAGAGGGATAGAAAAACCCTTAACTTTTTAAAATCCATGTTTTTGGTGCATTGGCGAAGACTTGGTAATCAAAGATTTTAAAAACAATGATGTAGGAGCCTAGAAATTACAACAGTGGAGATGATTTCATTTGTCTTCAAAGACAAGATTTTAAACTTCTTTAATCTTTAAACTAAGCTCAAGAAGTTGACAGGAAATGCTGAAAAAAAATCCTCTAATATTTTTACTGTAAACTTTATCGCCCTCTACTGGATTATCCTTACAGACCATTAGATATTTATCCAATTCAGACATGCATGCATATAAAATGATGATTACAACCTAAACTCAGAAATGAAGAATGAATTTAGATGTTAAAATCCCCTTTTTATTATTTCCTGCACTCTTCATACATTTAACCAGTTAACTGCTTATTTATCCAGTCACTTCTTAATTTTCACTTTTGTCTGTAATAGTTGTCTATTCTATTAGTTTCCCTTAATTGTATGTTGCATTTTTTTCTACCAACTTACTCTACTTATGTCGTCAAAGTTTCCATCTGATTATGTTTCAGCACAAAATCAACAATTTCCAAGAGTTGATATAAAGTTGTGCAGACTGAATGAAGTCAGCTGACTTTTGAAGATGAGAAGTATTATTTTGTCATGTACCGTTCTTCACTGCGGAGTCTCTCCTCCAGCTCCTGGATCTTGTTCTCCAGCAGCGTGATTCCAGCTGTGGGTCGGCTCTGACCCTCCATGTCAGCCAGGCGGGACTTGAGCTCCTTTACCTGTGAGAAAGGGAAGAAGAAGAAGAAGAAGATCAATAAGCAGACCTCCTTGAAGAAGCTGCTGAGGGGACCTGGGCATACCTGTCTTTCCAGGGCGCTCTTGTCCATCTCCAGGTCATGTCGCTCTGAGCGCTCCTGCATCAGCTCCGAGCGAAGCTGGTCCACCTGAGTGGAGGGAAACGGAGACAACCAGTGGCTGGTGTTAGTGGACGGTTCAGGCCTTTACGCCTCCTGGTTATTTGTGTATTCAAATGTCATGCTGCACCTGATCTCTGCTCCTGGTTATGCGATCGTTCAGCAGCTCCACGCCGCTCTTCTCCTCATCCAGCTCGATCTCCAGCGTCTTGATTTTATCCTGTGAACAACTTCACACTTCAGGGACAGACTATGCTTCATCCCACACCAGAGGTGGAGACTCGAGACACATGACTTGGACTGGAGTCATTAATATTAAGACTTTACACCCAACTTTCACTTTTACACCAATGACTTGGGACTTCAATTGGACTTGTATCTGTTTACTTGAAAAGACTTGATATTTTGCCCAAACTCTAAAGCTTAAAACAAATATTGTTTTTAAAGTGGGCCCCTATTAATTAATTTCACTCATTCCCTATTAACAGACGGAGACCGTCCCTCTGTTTTTCCGCACTCCGTATCTATGTGTGGATAAGCTGCAGCACAACAAATCAAGTTAATGAGATTTAAAAAACAAAACAAAACAAAGAAAAACACTCAGAGCAGATGAGCTCCCGTGAGTAATTTCTTCTGGGTACATGAATTATGACGTATCCACCTAAAAACCGAGTACAACATGCAAAACCTGCAAGAAGAGGATCTCAGATGGAGATGCAACAGCTTCCAACTTTGTTCCACATTTTAAGTTGCACAAAGAACGGTAAGCAGTACTTTTCTTTTGCTAAGAGATAGCAGACATTAGCTGACTTCGTGTTATTAGCAAGTGTACTTCAGGCTACGTTGATGCTACTACTTACTTACATTTAACAAATAATTGCAACATTGTTAAAAAAAAAGTCAAAAGGACTTGAAATTCCAAGTTTCAGACTCAGGACTTGAGGACAAAGACTTGAGACTTGCAAAACCCTGACTTGGTCCCACCTCTGTCTCACACACCCTATTATTTTAGAGGTGAACACCATTTGTCCCACAATCCTGATTTACTCCCATCTAACTTTAGACTCCACCTGTCACGACCTTTGACCGCAGCGGTCTCACCTCCAGGCCCCGGATCTCCCGGCCTCGGTCTGAGTGGGAGCTCTTCTCAGATTCCAGCTCATTCTCCAAGTGTTTCAGCCGGTTGTTCAGGAGATCTCTCTCCAGCTGAGCGCTGTCTCTCTCCTCGCTGCAGGTCAACAGCTCCTTCTTAAGACGAGAAACCTGGAAAAGCAAAACAAAGTCTTGTCATTTGTGAAATCTTGCAGGATTCTTATATTCTATGATCTAAGAAAAACTGTCTTTCTTTTATTTGGATTCCTATTAGTTGCAGTTCCCTGGGGTCCACACATTCAACATAATTATAGGAAAATCACAAAAATTCAAAATAAAAATAACTACAAAATAGAAGTGAAAGACATCCTGCAAAAGGACATTCCTTCAGTATATAAAGAATATATGCACAGTGTGGTTTTTTTTTTATTTATTTCTGCTGAAACATGTTCCTGACCTCTTCCTGCTGGGCCTTCAGGTTATTCTGAGCCCTTTGAAGCTCAGCCAGCCGGTCTTTGCTGTTTCGCTGCGCCTCCAGCAGGTCTTTCCTCGATCGCTCCCTGAATTCATCCAGCTGCGTCTGCAGGGTGGCCACCGACTGACGAGAATCTCCCATCATCAACTCCATCTGAGAGCAGGAGGAGAAATTAAGGCACTGATGGCTAAAAACACTTAGAGGTGACTTATTGGGCTTCTTTGAACAGGTTAGGATAGGTGTTAAATTTTTTTTGCACAAAATCGTTCTTGGATAATGAGATTTTAGTCTCATCAGTTCTGCGTATTTAGATCTCCTTTCAGAATGAGATGTTTTGGGGCCTCTTGCCACTTCAAAATCCAAATAATGCCTCCCTACTCAACATTTACTCTCACACATGAAAATGGCTGCAAACAGATGTGCAATTATACAACTGTACATCTTTGAAAAGCAGAAGTGGAACCTCCTGCACAACCAGCAAGAATTCTGCAAGTGGTTTCTGGATGGTAAATCAACAACAAAACACTTGTCTTTTCCAGCAGCCATTGTACACAGAGGTAAAACTAGCTGAGCAAACATGCTGGAGCTCCACTTGGGTCCTCATGGTAATGGCACAGTGCCCGTCGATTGTGACTTAACAATGGGGAGGTTTTTGAAATGGTTCATTTTCCAGACACCAAAACAAACTTTAACTTATTGCCAAAAAATAGCTGGGTGTTTTTTTTTTTTTTAAGCGCTTGGATTGTTTTTATAAGAAGTAGAAACCCAAATGGAAGATTAAAATTTCGCAAAATGTGAACTTTTCAGTTCCCTTTAACCAACACACGCTGACCTCCTTGTTAATCTTCTCAAGAGATCGGTCCAGCAGCCGTTTCTGCTCCTCCAGGTCGCTTTTGCCCCGTCGTAGCGCCTCCCTCTCCAGGTCTCGTTCCTCCAGCCGCCGGGTGAGGTCGTCCCGCTCTTTGCTCAGCCGGGTGGCGCCTCTCTTGGCCTCCTCCAGCTGAGTCTTCAGGGAGTGGTTCTCGTCTTCCAGGGCTTCCAGCTCCTCCTCAGCATCCGAGCTGCGCGGCACGCTGGATTGAAGCCTTGATTGCTAGACAAGAAAACAAAACACTTGAGGCAGATGGATTTACAGATGGCGTTTTAGGAAATAAAAACATGTATTTATTACACTTTAAAAAAATATGCACACTCTAAAGTTACAGCTAAATCAATAGCTGCGTTTGTAATCATGGCAATTAAAAAAAAAATCATATTTTTCAATAAAAAGTTTTTGCGCTAGGATGATGAAGGTATAATAGTTTAAAACTGAGTGGAAACACTTTTTTTTGCATAACACGAGTCATGCGATCAACAACTGGATGTTACTACTGGTGGAAAAGACGAAGGAGACAACGGGTAGTAAAGAGGATAATGGCGCGGCATGTTTTTCCTTTTTAATGGAAACACTGCAATTGCAAAAATTATTTTTTTTTACATTAGTGGAATATCAACAAAGTTTTCTGCACATTTGTAATGTGTAGCTACTTACGACTGCAAGTGATACTTTACAAAGTTAGTCACACCCTTTTTCGTTGTTTACTTGTTCTCGCAAAAACACTAATTTAATGTATTTCGTTGTGTTTTTTTTTTGTGGTAGACCAACAAAAAGTGCAAAGTGGAAGGAAACTGATTCAGATGACACCAAAATTTAACTTTCCATTCAATCTGCTAAATGCAGTAGCATGTAGCAGATCCAAATTAACTGCATCAATCTGAACTCACTATTTTTACCAAGAAACATGGCAGAGGGAGCATCATGCTGTGGTAATGCACAATCCAGAAAGAAAACCTATAACACACTGAAAAAGACTCGAGACTGGAATGAAGGTTCACCTTCCAGGCGGAAAAATCTAAACATCCAGCCAGAGATTCGATTAAATGGTTTAGATGAACTCATGTGTGGGTATTGGAATGGACCAGTCAAAGTCCAGACCCAAATCAAATTTAGAATATGTGGCAATTCTTGAAAATGTCGGTTTCAAAATGGCCTCCATTCAGTCTATTTTGCAAAGAGGAATGAGTAAAAAAAAACAACCTTTGGTCTCTTGATGTACTGAGTTGTGGCAGCCATGAATCATTTTCCTTCCACTTTACAAATACAAGCTACTTTGTGTTGGTCCATTGCGTAAAATCACAATGAAATAAACCAAACGTTTTGGTTGTAATATTGAAAAATACCAAGGGGACTGAACGGTTCAGCAAGGCAAGCAAGCAAGCAAGGCTCCGTATATTCCAACTTATTCTCAAACAACAGGATTAAGGCATGCTGAACAAATGCAACGTGATGCTTTTGTAGTAAACACGGACAATAACACGCATCTTATGCAAATTCCTCGCAGAAGGATTATTTTCTCAGCTCAGTTTTCTCCGGATAGGATCTACTTCATTTTTCTGGGATGAAAATAGAGCCCATGTAGGAGGACGTCCTTTTGTTTCCTGTAGTATTTGTGTTTACATAATTCTGCATGCATGTCTTATTGTTTCGTGGTTGTGAAGTACCATGCGGGCCAGCCTGTCTGTGAGGCGAATGTTTTCCTGCTGCAGCTCCTCGTTGGTGCCGCCGTCCACCACAGTCTTCCCTGCTGATGCAATAGATGACTGCAGGAAAGAGTGAGAAACAAGGGTAAAGAAAATAAGTCAAATGGCTTCTTATGCATGTTTTCTGTAATTTTTGGCACTTCTTTCTTTTCTGTTTTGCACAGTAGATGAGAAAAATAATCTCTTTTTTTTTCCATCCTCAAAATGGTGTCATCAAGCTCATTTGTTCAGATGATGTTTCACCTCCTTCGCCATCTCGAGGGCCTTTTCCAGCTCGCCCTTGTCTTTCAGAAATTGCTCCTTCAGCTTGCTAATCTCCGACAGAAGCTCGGCCTCCTTCTCTCCGCTTGCCTTCTTCAGGGCTTCGAGTGCCCCGGCTTTCTCCTCCGCCTCGCCCCTTTGTCTCTCCAGATCGGCGCGGGTACGCTTTAGATCGTCATGGCAACGCCGGAGCTCCTTAGGATAAGTAATCAGAGACAGATAATGCGTTTGAGTCAAGAGGAAGATGCCAAGGCGCATAGCAATGAGTTTTATGTGAGAGATTTGAAGAGAAAAGCTACAATTATTGTTGAGCTGATGGGAGATTTGAAAAAGTTTACTTTAAAAACAACAAAAGTTCACCCACACAATCATCATTTAGCTCCATGATTGCGGTCTGAATTACCTCTTTTAAAACGTTTGCATCGTCAGACACAGGCTTTTTGTTCTGAAGGTCCTTCAGGGAGGCCTCAACTTTTTCCTTCTCCAAACGAGACTTTTTTAGTCTGCGGACAAAAAGCAACGCGTTATTTTTTTTTTACAACTTGCATCCCATGATGCTGTTTAAACAAACAGAATTAACTTCTATTAATCAGCCAAAACATTAAACCACTGAAATATGAACCAAACCTGGCAGCAGGAAACGATGAGATTAAACTTCAGATATGAATTTAGAATTTTTTAATGTCTCATGATGATGTGGCTGAAAAACTTTTCACAATATAAGCTTTTCATATCAGTTGATATCAATAGTTATTGATTAGTTTTTTGTTTTAAATATCTTAAATACTACAAAACTAAACTAAATCTGTTTTATACACAGTTTTCACTTCATTATGTTTGTTAAAAATATTTTTAAGCAGTTATGAGGCACAGTGATAAAACCTCAAACTGCTGCTGTCAGTTACTCAACGGGTTGTTGCCAGGCAACCACAGTTGGTGGGGAACTTGAAACTGTTGTTGCTAGGTAACCAAAGAGTGAGCGAGTCAGTTGATTCCACCAACCTTGCTAAGCTAGCCATGAAAGGTTGAGGGGCTAAAGTCTTTCCTCTGCCTACATCTCCCAGAATGCCATGCGGTTCTGGACCATTTCAGTGAATATTTGATATATTTATTGTAATTGATTTATTGTCTATCTCTAGTCCTATTCTGGTGTCCACCTCCCACTCAAACATTGTGGTGGGTCGTCACTGTTCAGAAAAAAACCTAACATTTTACCGGATGTATTTTTAAAGGACAATCTGCTGTAAACATATTTGTTTCCACCAATAAAAGAAACACAGAGAACAAACCAACACGAATGTCACATGTGGGACTCGCCAGAAGCTAAAGAGAAACAGATGAATGTTCAATATATTAATGTTGTGGCTGATTGAAATAAAATCAAACCTTAAACCAACGTCAAAGGAACCACATCCAATGTTTATCCTCACATTATTTTATCATAAACTAAGATGCATCACACATTTACTTTAAATCAATGAAATATTAGAAAGAATGGATTCAAATAAAATATGATTGATCATGTGTAAAAATAATTTATAAAAGTTGTGATTGAAAGCAGAATTCTTTCTAAAACACAATGATTGGGTTTTTCTACTGTTAGTAACGGTTCACTGATCTAATAATCAATACGGACTCGGCGCTCTTCACACATACCATCAACCCTAGTAAAGATGCTTAAAAAGCCCCAAAATAAAAATTTCCCGCAGTAAAAGTTTTAGGTAAAGTCCAAACTTTATCTAAAATTAAGTGGAAGGAAGAAATATTATTATATTATTAACTTTGACTAAAACATGTTTTTAAATTTGTCATTTACTTTCTTAAAGTGGATCAGTGTCAACAAAAAGTTAAATATGGGATGTTAATATGCAGAAAGACAAGCGAGCATTTCAGGAACGACATGAACTGATTGTAATGAACTGAAGCAGTTCCTTTGGGTCAGATTGAACTTTTCAGCATCAGTAGCTCCAGGTGCATTTGGTTTGAAATGAGAGGAAAAGCACCTAAAATCCACTCTTGAGTACGGCAGAGTATCTGTGATGGTATGGGCCAGTTTCTCCCCAAAAGGCAACTTTTTTTTGAGTGGAAGGTAAATTCAGACTATTTGACGTACCGGAGCAGCTCAGACAGAAATGAGAAATGGGTCATGACTGAATCTTTCAGGGAAATAATGACCCACAAATCAACACACAAGTAGGTCAGCAGACACAAAAACAACCTTCCTCCACGGCCACGTCAGTTTCTAGATCTAATTCCAATAGAAAACACTCGGGTGATGAAAAGACAACTTTCGTTCTGGTTTTTATGCAAAAACCTGCAGAACCAGTGAGTCTGTTATAAAAACAAAGAAGTATTTATTGGTGTTTTCCTCTTACTGGACGTGAGAGCTTGTATTTTTATTTATTTTTTTTCCCCAGTGAGGGATAATAACACCACTTTAAGGCTTTTTACACATTTTACCCAGGTGTACCAAGTGTGGAGGGTGATTATAATCCGATGGGATTTTCAGGGGGTAAATCACAGGTTCTGATTAAAAACGAGCTAAATCTACTCAAACCCAAACAGCAGGACAGATTTTCTCTCTCACGTTCGGCTGCAGGGCTGTTCTCGGTTCCTGCCAAATTAAAAATTAAATCAGAAAGCTAAAACATAGCAAAAAAAAAAAACAAATTATAATAATGATAATTATGATTTTAAAAGGCTTGGACGACTTAAAAAACATGTTTTTTCTGATGTTTGAATCTGAATTTAAAATCTGGTGGTTGTTTTAAAGATTTTGTAGAAATATTCCAAGACCATAAGTGATGATTTCCGTCGGAACATTTTTTACAAAACGTCCAAAAACAAAGTAAGAATCGGTCTCTTGTGCTCAGACGTTAAATATCCGTTTCCTGCCGTCATTGATCAGGATCTTATTTTGCTTCAGAGACACTGACTCCTCTCTGGTGCTGTGCAGTTTCTGCGTGGCGGCCTCCAGCTCCGTCCTCCACTGCTCCCCCTGCTCCCTGCTGCTCTCCAGCTCCTCCTCCAGCGTCAACAGGGAGGCGTTCACCTTCTCGCGCTCCTCCTCGATCTGCTCCTGCGACTGATCGCATAAAAACAAACAACATGTGCAGAAAAATCATGTCAGACTAATTGGAGGCAGTTTTTATTGGGATGCGTCGAGTTGAAGCTTTATTAGTACGCTCTACAAGAGGAATAGCAAATAATAAATTAAATAAAATGTGTTGTGCTGTCATCGTAAACAGGAATCCGACTACTTTTATCCTGCTACTGCCAAGTAAATCAGCTCATCAAAAAAAAAAAAAAAAAAAACTTCTTGCAGTCAGGCTGCAGTTTTTTCCATCCTGCACTCTCATTGCTTTTTTTTAACATGTTACTTTTTTCAAGGATCTCAATTTTAATCTATTCCTGCACATTTTCTTCAAGTTCCCTCCGCACCCCAAACTGCAGTTCTCCAAAAATACCTCACCGACGGAAACAGACAGTTTTAAAAGAGAAAGTTTTCCATCTCAATCAGAACTTGCAAAGTTTTCTTCCCCCTCTCTGTCTCTCTCTCTCTCGCTCTGACCTCAAGAGACCCACATATCCGCGGTTTGAATGCTGAGAGCGAACTGATGCATTAAACAGAATGACAAGGAAAAAGCCTGGATGCAGATGCAGCATCAAAGCCAGAGCTAATGTTCCCTTAATAAGTCATTAAACGCCTGACAGGTGAAACCTGACGGTTGTCCCTCACCGCTGCACCTGTGCACAAAGACGATCTGACGCCGCTTTACAACGACGCGCGCGTTGCTGTGATGATAACAGATCAGAAATCTGTTAATTATTAATTGGGATTGTGGCGCCGAAGCTTTTCAGACACAATTTACTATTTTTAAGCACAAAATAGGAGCAGAAATCTTCCCACCACGCGCTAATGAATGCTAGATGCTTTTTATAGCTTTGCGTTTCGCTCACAGCCTAAAAAAAAAAGAAAAAAAAAGAGAGATCAGACACTTACCCAGAAATGCTAAAAAAGTTACAGTGAAGAACACAATCAATAAAACTGTGAATAAATACAATTAGAATGTAATTTAGGATGATGGTGTCATCTTAATACTTATGCTCCTCTACTTGTACTAAACTAAAATCCAACATCATCTTTCTAAAATCTAATTTTATTTGTAAAGCACATTTCAGCAACAAGGCAGTTCAAAGTGCTTTAGATTATAAAAACACAGAGCAAACAGCCAACAATTTAAGTATTACATCTTGTTACACATAAGAATATTGATTAATGTTTCAACTCTAAACAGGTGAATGCTGCTTCTCCGTATTTGGTTCTGGTTCTACACACCAGGCTGTCACAGATTTTTGAAGGCTTTGCCATGCAGAGACGTCATGTACACAGATTAGGGGTTTCAGATCAAATCCTCCAGTGTTACTCTTCCCTGCTCCAATAAACCTGGATCAAATGAATGGTTAGAGACCACGCCGAAGACTCAGCCTTTGGATTCAGGTGTGTCTAAAAGTCACAGAGCTGTGGCACTCTAGGAGTGGGGTTACAGAACCCTGCATTATGATGTTACCACTCGTCTGATCGGTTTTGTTGCAAAGTCCCTACACTGGCTCCACGTAGCTTTAAAATACTGTTGTTAGTTTATAAATCACTGAACGGCTTAGCACCACAATACATTAAATATCAGCCTTCCAGAACCTCTCAGGTCTTCTGGTTCTGGTTCTGGTCTGCTCTGCGAAACAAAGAACCAGAGCCAAACATGGAGAAGCAGCATTCAGCTCCTATGCACCGCAAATCTGGAACAAGCTTCCAGAAAACTGCAAAACAGCCGAAACACTGAGTGCCTTTAGGTCTACAATAAACGGCCACCTATTTAGAGTTTCCTTTGAAACATAATGAAAAATTTAACGTTTGCACTTGACTAAATGCTTCAATTGTTTACATTTTATTTTTGTGTTTTCATGATGCAAAGCATTTTGAGCTGCCTTGCTGCTGAAATGACTAATTGATTAACGCACTTCATTGAATACCTGCAGCACAGCATCTTTTGGGATTTTCAACATCTTGTAATTTGTCCGACAGTCACCTGCGTGAACTCCTCCATGGTTTTCCGGAGGTTCTTCATGTCCTGGCTGAACTGCTCCCTCAGCGCCTCCATCTCTTTGTCGTGGCACTCCACCTCCTCCTTCAGCGCCCCCTTCAGCGCCGTCAGCTCTCGCTCCCGCTGGTGGAGCACCTCCTCCTGCCGCTGGTATAACACGGTGGCTTCGGCCAACTGGGCCTGCAGGTCCGTCACGTCCTGCAGAGAGAGCGGCTGCAGGTCAGCCTGTCGGAGGGAAGCGCTGCTTTGCGTTAGCGGGTGTTGCTGTGGAGCGTGCGTACCGACTGGAATGAGTCCGACTGGGGCAGGTTCTCTGAAACCCGCCTCAGCTCTTCCTGAAGATGAGCCAACTGATCTTCCTGAAGGCGCAGACGGGACTCTGCCACCTCTCTGGCCATTTGCTCTGCAGCAAGTCTAAACACAAATGGCCTTTTAGTTTGACCCACTTTGTGAGAGAAAATAATCTAAAAGCAACACAGCAGCAAATATTAACCATTTTCCGGTGATTTGACGTGTTCTTATGCAGTTTTATGAGCTTTATTGGGATTTCAGACAGAATAACAAAAGCAGAATGACAGATTATCGACTTTCTACGGTGTTTTGTAAAGAATTTGTAATTCATCAATCTGTTCAAATTTTGTCACGTTACAACCCCAAACTTCAAAAGTATTTTTTCTGAAGCGTTCATGAAACAAACCAAGACTAAATTTAATAGCCCATAACTGTAAAGTGAACAGTACGATCTGTTTTTGTTTTTTTTAACGGAGCCCCCTAGGGATACGGGGACAAAATGATTTGCATTTCCTCACAATGACCAAATGCACCCTGGTCTTTTTTGGATACAGTCACAAACGTATTTTAAATTTTAAATACATACACATTCAGAGAGCCTCTGTGAAAACGTGTTTATATATTTTTAACTCCTTGGTGCAAAAAAGCTGATTGAAAATCGATTTATTCAATGCATGTTTATGCCGGTTTGTGTAAGGCTGAGATGGAAATGCACATGAAATCGGCCCTTTAAAAAAACACAATAAAAACCATCACATGACTTTATTACCCCGTGAAAATAACTCAGAAATCGTCCAAATATATGTATTTTTTTCCCCCCTTTCTTTCCTACTTGCGGAAAGTTTCTGTTTACATCTTAGAAGAAATGAAAGAGATGGAAAGCCCATGTTTCATCTGTTTTTCTTTTGCATTTTGCACATAGGTTTGTGGTGTATTTCTGTCCTAAAAAAAAGATATTAAACTCCAGATATCTCACAAATGAGACATTAACATACATGGATATAAAGTTTACAAAAACCTTATGTTATAGCAGAAAGTATGCCGGCTACCGCAAGAAAGACTTTCAGTATCAAATTACGTCGCATGAACTGATCAGTACGTTACTGCGAGAGAACGCAAAAGAAAAAATAAGAAAATCCTCCGTAGTATTTACAGAAGTTTTTTGGGGGACACAGAAACACACACAGGTTGACTCTGTTTACTAATAACGTCACTTAGGGAAGGTTCTTGATTTTATTTAGGGTTTAAAGTGAAGCGGGCCAAATATATGTAAAAACAACAACAAACAAACCAACATAAGACAGAAATTCAGTCGGTAGAGAAGTTGACAACTTCATGAATGAAAGACAATTAGTTGACAGTAATCTTCTGCCACATGTTAATGTGCAAGGCACTTAACCTCAAATGACCAATTAATATGCATATCAAAGTATGATTACCTGAGCGTTTTTTGACTGTAGCTCCAATGTGAAACATTTTGAGTGGTTGTTGAGACGAGTTCTTATATTCTGTCTTTGTTTGCTCTGCTGCTGTTGCAAAGAAATTTCCCCGTTATGGGTCAATAAAGGATATTTCTATTCTATTCTCTAAAACTTGCTGTATGAATTCAGTCCATTTACTACTTCACTTTAACTTCATGAGGTAAATTGAAGTGGTAACTATGCACTACTGTGTGTTGGTCCAGCAGAGTAAATCCCAATAAAAGACATTAAAATTTAGAACCATAACATGAGATTTAACAAATGTGGAAAATCCTAGGCTATGTTTAAATGATCAAATTTTAAACTCTTCAAATTCTGCTGGAAAGTGTTATAAATGAATATATATTTTTTAAACTTATTTATATATTGAACTGTGGATAAAATTACACAGGCAGAAAAGAGAATAAAATGGTTTTCTTATTGCCTGAAATGCTTGATAAATATGCAGCAATAGTACACCAGACCGTGCCATGATGCCGCCATCACCGTGCTTTTACTGCTTGTGCAAACCATCAGCCACTGTTTATAGCAGTCATTTTTTTTCTTATTTGTTGTGATTACAATAGCTAAGATTAGTCTTGTTAATGTGATATTAGTAAAGTAAATGAGATTTCTGGCAGCGTTTTGGTTTCTTCTTGAACGTTTGAAACCATTTCTCTCCTCCTTTCAGAGGACTTTCAACACAACTGTTTAAACTTAAGAGTTTATTATGGACTACGGAGGAGGACTTTTTGAAAACGGTGGCCTTACTCATCCTGCGCCTGCTCCAGTTCCTTCTTGTAACGTTCGAGTTGCTTCTGAAGATCCTCGAGTTTCTCCTTTCTGATGCTTCCGTCGGATCCTCCCGTCTGCACAAAATATTCACAGAAAACCAGAGTGAGACAGAGGAGAAGGAGCTCAAGGACAGAGAGGCGGAGAGAACGTGTCCCAACACACGGCTACTGCCGACCTCGCAAAATATGCTATACATTCTGCATTATTTTTAACTTTTAAAAATAATAATAAAAAAAATGAAGCCTTGCTTGGATTCTTTGCCCTAATTTTTGACAGCCAAAAAAAAAAAAGTCTTTGGGCGAGAAAGCCTTGCCAGGGTTCTGAGAACCTTAAATAAAAAAGAAAAATGTTCGACTGCGCTGACAGCAGAGCGAGAGAAGAAGCGTGTTCGCCGCCCACCTCACATGCTGCTCAGAGACGCAGCCATAAGCTCAGCCTGCCCGTAAAACCTTCGTCTTTATCCTCCTACACAGTCATTACAACAAAGCGCACACAGAGGAAGACAAGAAAAATGAAGCCAGGCTCGCAGATGTTTCCCTTCTTCTGCTTATTTAGCTTTTTTTTGGGTTTATCAGTGGCGGATTACAAAGATTCACTTTCTTCTCATCCCCTAAAGGACAGTTTGGAGATGATCCCGCTCTGGGATGCTTCAGTTTCTCGCTGAGAAGAGAGATAATTAACAGAAGATAACATAAGAGGGACGCTCGTTTGAGCAGTTTGTGTAGATTGCATCAGCTGGATTCTCATGCGAATCACACAAATAATAGAAATAAAGACTCCTGCTGGGCTAAACAGAGCCTTATATTAAAGGATGATTCTACATCTCTTAAGCAGTTAATTAAAAACTAAAAGCAGAAAACATTTCCCTCACACTGAAAACATTTGGTTTGTTCTTCATAGTGTGAGCTTCATTTGAAGCTCACACTATGCATCTTGTTTTAGCAGGGGAAATATTTTTGCTTACTTTGACTTTTTATTCAGTATTTTTAAGCTTGTTGTTTAATCTTTTTGCACAAAAGTTCAAATCATACAGTTTACATCTGCAGCGCCTTTGAATTTAAAATGTTTATGTCTAGAATTGATCAAATTAAATTATATTCACAATTATAACATGAAATGTCTTTAAAATAT